GATCTTTTCTGCCACGTACCACCCGGCTTTGGAAGGAGCTCCCCTTCACGGTATTTTTTGAGCGCTATGATATGTCCTTCTTCAAACGAGGCTTGTGAAGAGTACTTAAGGGTAAACAGCGGCTTGGCTCTGCCCCTGGGATTGCTGAAATCCATGGGCGACGGTAACCATTCACCATCAGGTGGGCTGTACGCTCGTCTGCAAACTAGGGTTATATTAAAAAAAAACATGTCTTGGAGCACTCCAGAAATAACGTAACAGATAATTCATTCCAGAGTCATCTTCTATGGAAGGAAAAATGGCTAAAAAGGCACCACATCGGAGATGAGTAATGACTGAGCGGGTGCAGACTGAATAAGTATTTTAAGGACATACGAATGAGCACATTAGTCCTGCTCATTTTTGTCCCAAAGCAATCATGCGTCCCATATCTAATGGATAAACAGTTGTTTAAGTTTTGTGTTTTTGGCAGGCACTTTCGCGTTCTGGTATGTACACTGTGTGTACTATATTGTTTTTTTTTTTCAAATATTTTACATTGTTGTGTACTTGTATAAATTTAGCTTTCTTAACAAAGTTTAACATGTACCAATTTGAAAAAAAAAATGGCTAATCTCAAATACATAACGATTGGTCCGTCTGTTGCTGGTGTGCACATCACTCCGCAGCTACCGGCGGAAGATCAATGCCGCAGTGCCGATTGTTTTGTTACCGTTAGGCATTGCTGAGCCGGTAACCTTTGCCAAGCCTCATTATTTTTCGATAAAAAAGATCTTCGTTCCTATCTGGTGTCGTGGGACACCGGATAGGAACGAAGTTCCTTATTATAAAAATATAAATTTTAAGTTCTATTCGAGGTATAAAGAAAATAATTATTCGGGTATACACTATATATTATTTATTATGATTTTCTTATTGATAAAAATAAAAATAATCGCAAGGGTCAACCACTCCGCAGTGCAATGGAGCAGTCTCGCCCAGGGCGAACCGCCTGCATGATCACGGTATCCCCTACGCCAAGTAAGTATGGTTTAGCAAGAGAAATACGAGAACGTCTATCAACTGTGTAACATCCCATCCCGCGATTCAGGAATTGTTGAATTTGCGTGCCGCGACATCTGTTGATAACAAACTAAATAGAAAAAATCTTACGTTACGGACGTTTTTTCCCGGTTAAGGTACCCCTCCGCATCGTCCCATAAGGAGCTTCGTTCCAAAAATGTTTCGATAAATGTTTACTATTATTATTATTATGAAATCTAGTTCGTTCTTCAAAAAAAAAATCTAACTTAACCACCCAAATTAATAGGTATAATATAAGGATGCTCAAAATTCTTCTCTGTCAATATCGACATTTTAATTCCCCACTCGAGTTCTTTCCTGCAACATAATAGTGTTGTCACTTAACTTGCTTCCTGCTTCTGTCGATAAGCGTCTATTTTAACGCTGTACTACTGGCACTTTGCCAGAGACGACGAGAATAGCGCCATGTCAAAATTAATTGGCGGGCGTAACTTTTATATGGTTTGATCGCGTTTAATTTTGTCTTAAATTCCACTGGTAATGTCCATTGAATTGATGTTTTTAGTTTCAGAACACGACGTCGTTTTGTATAGTTGTTTTAAAAATAAACGGGGCTTTGTTAACTTTTTGTGTTAATTATTTTTTACGTTCACTTCTTGATGCTAGAAGAGATCTTTTTTATAAACACTGTCTAGCCACATCTAGCAATGTCTAGACATACGTTTTTCGTGTTTGAAATCTGTGCATAGAGCTATAATAAAATTTCTACGACTTATAAAATTTCCAAATTCCCAGTTAGCCATTTTTTTACGATACTAAATTGGATATGGTCGATTAGTTGAAATTATAAACCAGGTGAAGTCTGTTCCACCAGTTTCATTGAATAGATTGATGGCTTAAGTACTCGCTTCTTGACGTTGGTAATAGATTAATAATATATTATAGTAAATATTTTTGACTCCATTATTCATTATCATCATTCAATAGAATTGCACTAAAATTGATGACACAAAAAAATCGAAAATGATTTATAAATGTTATGGTGTGATATCAATAGATCTACTGCCTATTTTTATTTTCGGGAACGGTTAAAATACTGCATATACAAATATGCATGTTTGCAAAGTTTTACTAGAATTTTTACTCCTCGGGGCTCCTGTTCTTAATGTCAGGATTGGAATCAAAATGTTTTCATACTTAGTTACATACCAGCATCTCGTTTTTACCATCGCACCGCCCGCCACCGGAGTAGAGTTCATCCATACTACCTGGAGCCGCTGCGGTCATCCACAGTGCGTTTCCAGAGATCTTATTTGCCACGTACCATCCGGCTATGGAATGAGCTCCCCTCCACGGTGTTTCACGAGCGCTATGACATGTCCTTCTTCAAACGAGGCTTGTGGAGAGTATTAAGCGGTAGGCAGCGGCTTGGCTCTGCCCCTGGCATTGCTGAAGTCCATGGGCGACGGTAACCACTCACCATCAGGTGGGCCGTATGTCCGTCTGCCTACAAAGGCAATAAAAAAAATAAAAAAAAACATGTACTCAATGTAGTTTTATCTCATTAATTCGATGTCAGCTGTAAAACTTCATGTAAACGGCATGCTATCTATCATGAATGTGTAATGAATAAAACAGCTGCGTTTATTACAATTCAAAGTCAATAGCGGTCACAGTTGCATTCGTTTTATCGGAATGGTTGAGTGCGTGATTCATAGCGACACTGACAATGTGTTTAATTATAATTATTCCGATTTGACGTCTACAAGCCAGTCGCGCCGGATAGCTTGCATACCTTAATACTAAACAAGGAGTTTGATATTTCATTTAAAAACACCCTACATGTATGTGGGAATGTATTGATTTTTAACCTCAAAGATATTTTGTGTATTTTTTTTTTATTGCTTTTATGAGTGGAAGAGCTCACAGCCCACCCGGTGTTAAGTGGTTACTGGAGCCCACAGACATCCACAACGTAAATGCGCCATCCACTTTGAGATATAAGTTCTAAGGTCTCAAGTATAGTTACAACGGCTGCCCCACCCTTCAAACCGAAACGCATCACTGCTTCACGGCAGAAATAGGCAGGGTGGTGGTACCTTCCCGCGCGGACTCACAAGAGGTCCTACCACCAGTAATAACCTCAATCACATTATTCGAAACACCAATCGCGTGAGTTTTGCGATAGTATTTTGAACTATAGACACCTTGGTCCGGAGCCGAGATTTGAGATTTTCATTTTGATCTTAGCTAGTTATGGGCATATACAATGGTCAATCCCCGAAATGCGTAACAAATACGTTCTACTTTGATGACGCAATTATCATCAAAACTTAAAGAAAACTTAACTTTTAACTCCGATTGGGAGTTTTGTGAGAATTTAAATTAGTGTTATTTTTAATTTGTTCATTGATGAATATTTGTGAAATGCCTAACGTAGGTTTAAAATTTATTTGTCTGATTCTTGTTTTCAATTTTGTCTGATTGTGGGAGAACCATAAAAATATATTTCAGATGTAAAAGAAGTAGGATATATTTATATACTTTAAACACTATCCATTGAATAATTAGCTAGTCCCCCCGTCTTCAATACCCTTACCAATTTAGCCTAACTACGCTTTTTAAATAACATTTTTAATGTCGTCGGATCTTCATTATAAGTAATATTTGCCGTCTACCTCCACAAAACTCTGTGAAGTCTTCGAAATGTAGGAAATAATAAGCAATAAGATAATAAACGGGAGACTAAATCGTAAAAATAGTGTTAATTATGCGTCGACATAGCTCGCGAAAACCGAAGAAAGCACTTAATAATTTATTGGTTTTGTGACGTGTGTAGAAGAAGTTAATTATAAATGTTACTAAGGAGACATGACCACTTCGATAAAGCGGCACGACACGAGAACCCTCTCATCGTGGTCGCCGGTAACTACATTCCCGATCCTGTGGACAGAATGGAGAACAGTCAACGTCGCCCCAAGCACGTCATTTTGGATCCTCCCGATCCACTAACGGTTCTTTTAGGTACCTCAAGCACCAGTTATCGTCCTCGTCGAACCCATCGCTTGCGCCGAAGGGCTCGACGAGTAAATTAACCCTCAGACACAGCCCACTGAGTTTCTCGCCGGATCTTCGTGTTAGCAACGTCATCAGGTTTGAGCCCCGTGAGCTCACCTACTAGTTAAGGCAACGCTGATATAGCCTCTCAAGGTTATCAGCTTAGGTAGGGGAAAAAAAGTGACATGAGAACTCGACCTTGAAGTCTTCAATCTACTAAGAATGCTTTCACAACTTTGTCAATAGTAATATTTCTCGCTTTACAATTCTAATGAACTTCACATTGCTATCTTGGATACGCGTTGTCAAGATTAGAATATGAGTGAAGTCGTTAATTTTTCGCGCCCGTCTTTATTTAGGCTCAAATAAATATGGACGCAAATTCTAATATTTATTTCATTTAGGTACAAAATGACCCAATTAAATTTTTGAAGTGGTTATTAATATCTATACTAATATTATAAAGCTGAAGAGTTTGTTTGTTTGAACGCGCTAATCTCAGGAAGTACTGGTTCGATTTGAAAAAATATTTCAGTGTTATAATAATATAACCCATTTAATGAGAAAGGTTATAGGCTATATAACATCAAACTAAGACCAATAGGACCAATAGGACCAAGCGGAGCACCAATAAAGAATATTTCAAAATCGGGGTATTTTTCGGGTAGGGTACCTATATAATCTATATTATAATATTATTATATTTGTTTGTTTGTTTGAACGCGCTAAGCTCAGGAACTACTGACTATTACTATTATTCAAATATATTTTCACTTTCTACGTAAATGAAGAGGCGGGTAAAATTAGCAAATAGCAAAAGCTATCGTCAAATAAATGTAGTCCTATTTTTAAAATAAATCTTTATGAATGAACTTTATAAATTATGATACTAAAAATTTAATAAATCTTATTGTGCTTACCGTAAATTTTCGACCACTGAGCCGGTGGTCTCCACTCTGGGTAATGTTTCGGGAATTTCTCTCTCGTCCAATACGTGTGGAGCACCATTTTATACACTGTCATTTTATCTGGATTACAAGCGTCCGTGTCACTGGGAGACAGCGCGGCCGCGGCAAACGCGGGCAGCAATAGCGCGAATATAAACGTCGCCATTTTATCGATAAATGATCTATCGACACTGTCACAGCACTATTTCTGTGTTCTCATTATGTCGCTGTCACAACATTTCACTTGTACCTGAAACGAGAAATGTATGTTTTAATTAGGTAAAATTACCGTTGATTAGAAAAGGAAAAAAATATTTGGAACTATTCAGTAATTATTTTTTAGTATTTTCTTTGGCTTTTGCATGTCGTATATTCAACGTTGGTTTATCAGTCGAAAACTACAGGATCTCACAGACTTTATCTCAAATTACAATAATTTTCTATTTAGTACTATTTCTTTAATTTCATTTTTTTTTCAAAGCACCCGTTCATTTTTCCGAATTCGATTTCATTAAAAACCTCCTTCTTCTTCATCATTCGATCACTGTTGAGGATCGCGACTACCTGTGACGTTCCTCTACAGTGTTCGATCATGGGTGGCATGAACCTCTTGGTATATATAGACTACCACCAAGTGCTTCCTTTACCAGATCTGACCATCTGGCTGGTGTTATGCCCACGGCGCGCTAGCCCTCTATGCGACCCGCAATTATGAGCTTCTCTAATTCATGTCTGGGAGACCGCATGATGTGTCCGAAGAAGCTCATAACACGTTCCCAGCAGATGGAAGAGAGCCTTTTTCGGATGGATAGCTCCCTTAGAATGGACTCGTTAGTTCTCATGGCAGTCCACGGTATTCGTAGCATTCTAACCTTAAAAACCTTATTACGAGTTAAAAAAAAAACAGTTCAATCTTGCTCAAGTGATGCGCATATTCTGTGTAGTAGTGCTCTTGCTAGGGCTAGTGTTAGCAACGTCCACAGGTTAGAGCCCCGTGAGCTCACCTACCCGCCTGGTTACGCAGACATAGCCAGTTAGGGCTACCAGTTTGGGCAAGAAAAAAAAAGATTCGCCTACCAACGGACCATATCTAATTATCATTCGCGTAAAAGACATATTATTACATTTGCACAAACAAAAGTTTTATTAAAAGAAAAAAAAACGAGTTTCCTGTTCGGTCCCATTACAAATGTTTTCAAACTAATCCTATCAAAATAGTTGCTTCGCTTTTCAACTAAAGTCGTTGACCGGAAAAAAATACTTGTTCGTAACTTGAATAAAAAAAATACATAAATAAAATCGACTTGAACTCATTTGACAGTGGAAAAACATGACTATTGGGTCGGAAACTCGGTCAGCGACCATCGAAATAATGTAAAGATACATTTTCCACGCCACTTGTCTCTGTCCTGAATAATTTATGTGAAGCTAAAGACTTTTGGGATATAGAACGGTTTTTGGCTGTGTCTGTTTATATTTTTATTTCTCTGTACGCGCGGACTACCTATCTTACAGTTAACCTGATACAAAGTGATTATCGCTTATTACTTATTATTATTACTTATTATTATTATGACGTGGAAAGGAAGAAAATAGACGCTCTGGAAATGTGGTGCTGGAGAAGAATGCTTGGAGTTTCGTGGACCGACTTTTGTACAAACGTCTCGATACTTCAGGAACTCGGCATCAAGCAGCGTCTATTTGCTATAGTACAGTCTCGAATGGTGAACTTCTTCGGACACGTTTCTCGACGAGATGGCCGGTCCATAGAACGCCTCGTTGTACAGGGAAGCGGTGATGGTACAAGACCGCGCGGGAGGCCACCAATGCGGTGGACCGACCAAATTAAAACTGCAGTGGGAGGTCCCCTAAATGAGTGCAGTAGAACGGCCTCGAGCAGGGAGAGATGGCGCGACATCGTGAGACGCATCAAGTCTGCCCCTTCGAACACCACATGACGATCACGACCACTCTGTCAAGAGTGACACGACTGAGAAGAAGAAGAAATAGCAACGAGAATATCACTCATTCATTTGCATTGTACATGTAATGTCTGAGATTCAATAAAAAAAAAAAACGAACACGAATATAAAAAAAATAACGAAAAGTATGACAGTAACTCAGTAGGGGTAAGAGATCTGATATTTCGAGACAGATATTTGAACTTAAAGCTCCGTTATCAAAATAGAACGAAGTCGATGACCCTGTGTAGCTGTTCTCATGTGACGAGAAACATCATTTTAATTTGATTAATCACATCCGAAAACAATTTTTTATATATTTTGTTAATGGAACCATAACATCGGATGAATTAAATTTATCGATTCGTTATTACTGCATTAAGTGCTGACCCCAACATAAGTATGTAATTCATATGTATTACCATATATATTATCATATGTATTCATATGTAATAATAGCGACTCGCCCTTGCTTCGCTTCGGAAACATTACATTTTATTAATGATAGCTGAGTCCCGCGATGTTACCCGCAGTTAGTATCGTACCGCGGGCGACGCCGCGAGGTGAAGCTAGACTAAAAAAGGTAGCCTAAGTTACTCCTTATATTATCAGCTACCTATCAGTGAATATCTCGTCAAAACCGGTCCAGTCGTTCCAGAGATTAGCCGGAACAAACAGACAGACAGACAAAAATTGTAACAAATGTTATTTTGGTGTCTGTGCCGTATATATATTCATATGCATGTAGTAAAAACGGTTATTTCAATATTACAAACAGACCTTCCAATTTTATTTATATGTATAGATGACATATTAAATTGACCTCTATGTTCTACTCGCATTAAATATGTAACTGATGAAGAATAAAATGCGTTGCAATTGACCCGGATAAAGAGTCACTTATGTTTATCTCCGATCCACAAACTATTAGCAGAATTCATTAGTAGATCCTTTAGTATGTCCCGAACCCTTAGCAGTTTAGATGTTACGTACTTAAACGAAATTGATAGAAAAGAGGCAAATATTTATTCACCCCCATATACACAGTCCACTGAGTTTCTCGCCCGATCTTCACAGTGGGTCGAGGTTCCGATCCGGTAATAGGTTCTGCGAAGCACTACTCTGCTCTGGTCTTGAATTAAAAATAGTGTAAGAAAAAATGATTTTATTGTAAAAAAATAACCCTTCTACTCATATCTGCTCCTAAAATATTTATAAGTACTGATACCATGCACCCCACGCTTTTTTTTACAATAATATCATTTTTTCTTACACTATTTTTAATTCAAATTTATTAAAATTTATTTTCTATATTTAGTTGGATTTTCTATAAAAGCGTATTTTGTTAGTTTTTGTAAATATTATTTATTTTTCACTTTTTAGATGAATTTCATTTTTTTTCATTTTTTTTATTCATTTTTTTATAAATATTGTATTGTCATCGGTCCTTAATAAGTATACCAAATTTCGAGTTAATCCGACTTTTTGAAGGGGGTCTAAATCATGTTCAAAGATTCCGTTACATACTAACATACATAAGTCTGAAGCGCATAAAAGCCTAATAAAAAAATAGTTTATTCACCGCTGAAACAGACGGAAAATTTTGGCTATAGAAGATTTTTTCTATAGCAACGAAAAGCTTGTAGAACCACTTGATGCTATTTAGAAGTTCGTATCTCAAATAAATAAAACAATACGCGTACTCACATTGAGCGATGTGCTTATACCGAAGCGAAATCCCTTAGGGCGTTACCATTTCCTAACGAAATACGTATCTAACACGAGCTTACGGACGGTAAATGTATTTAAATAAAACGAATATATAAATAAATAAATAAAACATCACAATGTTTTCGGACGCCACGAAAACCACCGGATATCCGGGTCAGCGGACGGACAGCCGGGTGTAGTAAAGGACTGACCCGGTTAAATACTATTGCAATAACGTTGACACATCGGTTGGCTCGGAAACTGATATCTAACTGTCGAAAATAAATAATGAACAAAGAGTAAGAAATTTTACTACAGGAAGAGGATAGAATATGAAGTTGTCATCAAGCGTGTGTGTCATCAAGAAGTGTCTTAAGCGATGCGACCAAACCGCTGTAGAAATTCCTCAGACAGTTACCAATATTTTTCAAAGGAAACACGTGTAAGTATTGCTGTAAAATAACTAATATAAAATTTATTATGTTAAAATTAAGATAATTTTTGGATTGCCAAATAGCAACACTGTTAGGTGGCAGCAATGACAGTGTTGGGACGAGACATATTAAAAAAGGCGGTAGTCTGAAAAACTGCCAGAGAAAAGCGGTGTATTCTGTGGTGAGCACATAAAGAGTGTAGGTACACGTGGAGTTACAAATAAAACAAAACAGAATCAAATGAACTACTTAATGCAATCTGTGTATTTAACACGTTAACAGTCCCTATACAAGCGTTCCGAAACACGCCATATGTCCAAGTGGGATTATATATTTTTTGGCCATTATTAGATGTCCACTTATCGGCTGATGCATTAAAAGTAACAAAATATGGTCGTTGAGCCCGGATATACCCGTGTACAGCGGGCGGTACACGGACTTATGAATTAAATTACCGGGTACCTTTAACGTATACCACAGGCTCATGAGTGTTCCAGTAGACGTATGTATGGTTAGTTTATTACCATATCGATGGTACACTTCCGCGGCAGACTACTTTTCCGCCAATACATACCCTCAAACACATAAATATAACATGAAGATCTATAAACTATGGTCTGCAGAACACTTGGGGATACCAAATTTACAATGGTCAAAATGTGCAAGTTTTTGGTTTGGATACCTCCGGAAGTATAGTAGTAACATTGGCAGAAGGTTTACTTGATGAAGGTCGCTGCATGATAACTGACAACTACTACACGAGCGACCCTTTGACAGAATTTATGCTTTCTCGCAATACAGACCTCTGTGGCACAGTCAATAAAAAGAGAAAAGGTTTACCGAAAGAGAGAAGGAGAGAAAAGCATTCTAGCAGCACATGAAACGTTCAAGTTCAAGTTACGCCGCTGAGAAAAACACATTTTTTTGAGTTTTTGGCCAAGAAAGAATCTCGATTCATCCGAAGACGATGCGTGGGATGCTGCCAAAATCTTCTTAATGAAGGTCGACTTGCCCCATATGCACAGGCCAAAGCCAAAAGGGTATCAAGGCAATGTAAAATTTGCAAAAAAGAATATTGCGTTGTTTGTTTTTCTGAACTTTTAGTTCACCAATTAAAATTTGTACTTTTTTTTTCTAAGTTTTTT